CCTGTAAACATTATTAAAATAATAATAATAATAAATAAATATAATATTGTAATATTTCTCGACCCCACCAGGGTAAACGCTGTATCCACTCTTATCCGTTTTTAATATAATTGATAAGATATGAAGTTGATAGGAGATTTTGGTGCGCGCATGTGCGTGCGGAGCGTGGAACTAGCTGCGGTGATCTGCTCGTCCGGTAACTTAGTTGACCGTTTATCAAAGTGTGTGATCGCCTGACAACAGCTGTTATTATCTATGATATTGATAACTGATACATAATATAATTTTGTTTAATATGTGGTTTTGTTCTTAATAGTTATATAAATATATATTAATAGTTATAATAGTTGATGTGTTGTGTTATATTATAAATTTATAATAATTAAATAATACATTACCTAGTGTCTCAGTGCGATAATATGTCTAATTTAATGAACCAGTGGTTAAAACGCAAAAATGAAGACTGCACTGATAATACTGATAGTACAAATAAAAAGAAAATAAATGAGACAATTGTTACTCCGTCTGCAACTTCTGGTTCATCTACATTAAATAGCTTGGTAACTATTAATAATATTGCTAGTCCCTCTTTTGAACTAGATGTTGCACATTTTATAAAAGACTCTAATGTAATTTGTTCTGACCATGATCGTGCAAAATTAATAACCATGGATAATTTGCCCGAAAATGATTTTATTCTTCCTTTTTCTGTGCATATAAAAAAAGGTAAAGAAGAAAAAAGATACCTAAACAAAAGTTATTTTGAAAAATATAAATGGTTAACTTTTTCTAAAACAATGTCAGGACTATATTGTAAATTTTGTGTTTTATTCGGTCATAAAGGAGGGAGATACAAAACGATTACATTAAGTAAATTTGTTTCTAAACCATTAAAAAAGTACTCTAAACTCTTAGGAAAAGATGGGGATCTAGAAGTACACAGCAAAAATATTTATCACATAAATTGTGTTCAAGTTGCAGATGATTTTATGAAAACCTTTAATAATCCCCAAAAAGAAGTGATAAATTTAATAAACAGTGAAAGAATGAAACAAATTACAGAAAATAGAAATCGTCTAAAACCCATTGTAGAATCTATCATATTCCTAGGTCGTCAAAATATTCCATTACGGGGTCATCGAGATAATGGAGACTTTTTTGAAAATTATAATGAAGGACATTCTATTGTAAATCAAGGTAATTTTCGTGAACTTCTCAACTACAGAATAAAGGCTGGGGATTTAGCTTTAGAAAATCATTTGAAGACAACACACTCTAAAGCAACCTATATAAGTCCTGTCATTCAAAATGAACTCATTGATTGCTGCAAATCAGTAATTATAGAAAACATTTTAGGGGAAGTAAAAATATCAAAATATTATTGTGTTATTTTTGATGAGACCACCGACATCAGTCATACATCTCAAATGAGTTTGGTGCTCAGATATTTATGTAAAGGAGTTGTGAAAGAAAATTTTGTTTGTTTTATTGATTGTCATGCTTATGCATACAATGAAAAATGTACCACCTTAATCGGAGACGATGAGGATAAAAATGATAATATTAATGAAAAAGATATTAATTTTGAACCAAAACTAAATGGTGACACTTTGGGTGAAATAGTAATTTCTTTATTAAAAAATTATGGCCTTGACCTACAATATTGTGTTGGAGTTGGAACTGACGGCTGTTCTGTGATGGTATCAGAAGTGCGAGGTGCAGTTAAAAAAATTCAGTCATATGCAAAAAATGCTGTCCATAGCCCCTGTTCAAATCACAGTCTGAATTTATCTATATCTAAATCATCTACAGTTCAGTCTATTAGAAACAGTGTCGGACTAATGAAAGAAATATTACAGTTCTTTAACTGTTCATCAAAAAGAAATTTTGTTTTGAAAACAATTTTGAATGGTCAGCAACGCTTACTAAGCTTATGTGAGACCCGTTGGACTGAGCGCCATGATAGTGTCATGGTATTCAAAACATCTATACCGTATATAATAAAAAGTTTAACAAAAATTTCTGAATGGCAAGAATCTGATTCATCTTCTAAGGCTAGAACTTTATTAACAGCTTTATGTAGTTGTGAATTCATAATTGCAATTCATTCTTTAGCAAATATTTTATGTGTGACAGCACCTGTTAGCCGTATTCTCCAAGGTTTGAACTATGATATATTAAATGCTAAAAACTGTATTGATGATATAATATTTAATTTAGAAAATAAACGTACCAATTGTCTTGTAATATTTGGAGATATATATCAAGAGTGTGTATTGTTAATGAACGAAATGGATATCGAAGTAAAAATCCCTAGATTATCGAAATATCAAACAAAACGCTCTAACCATCCAGTAAATAATATAGAAGAGTATTATAGAGTATCACTATTTATACCATTACTGGAAAATATCCTAGAAGACTTAAGATCAAGATTCATAAGAAAAGAAAATAAGATGTTATTAGATTTATGTTTGTTAATTCCACGCTACATTACTGACATTTCTAATGACGATTTTAAAAAAATAACAGAAGCTGCCACAGAATTATTTGTATTTAATGAAGAAGAATCTGTTGACCAAATCGAGCTAAAAACAGAACTAGATCTATGGAAAACTAAATGGCAACGAATAAAAACTGATGGTAAAAAATGTTTGTAATTATACTTTTCTTAAAACTGTATTAATTGATTGTTTTATAATTTTGTTTAAGGTCATGAAATTTGTCAAGATGCTTTGTCATCAATGGAAAATTGTAATAGTATCATTTATCCAACTTTGCATAAATTAATAAGTATTATTGCTTGTCTGCCTATTAGTGTAGCATCCGCAGAACGCAGCTTTTCAACGCTTAGAAGGTTTGGTGCATGTGTTAATTATTAGAATAAAAATTAGCTAGCTTCTATAAAATACTTTAACTATATACCTACAACCTAATACTATATATATTCTATATATATAATAGTATATATATATATATATTTACAATGCTTAAAATTAAAGATCTGTTTTTCTTCTTAAATTGCATTAAAAAAAACTTTTAATTCTTCTCTTTGCTTACTTTTGTTGCTTTTTTTGTTAGATTGAAAACCTGGTTAAGATCTAGAATGGGACAAGAACGCTTGACTGGTTTGGCTTTGCTAAACATACACCATACTTTAACCATATCAGTAGATGATGTTATAAATAGATTTGCTAATACAAAAAAAAGAAATATAGATTTTGTTTTGTAAATATGTTGTTTTTTTATCATATTAGTAACTTATTACTTTATAGGTTATATTATACAGGTACAATATAAAATTAATTATGTCTAGGTAAGTTTATGTAAATGGTTGCCGGTTTGGAATATTCTTTTTAAAATCGCCCCCCCTCAGATGAACTCTCAAATACGCCACTGGTCAAATGGGCATGTATTTTGTACCAAATACCTTTTTTTTGATACAATTACTGGTGTAGACAAGTTTCCATTTATTAGCAGACTGTTTAACGTTGAACGAGTTTTCATAGTTGACAAAATGAGCTCAATATCTTTTTTTGGACCCATATATTTTGTATGCCTCGGTTTCATTAAAATAGATTTTTTTTTCGGAAATAACTCTTTCACAATACCTTTTCCTTTCCAGTTTTCACATGCAGTTATTGATGTATCAGAGACATCACTGGATATTTCATTATCATGTTCTGTCTTAATATTTTGAATTGATTTGTCGTTAAATTCAATCGAGGAGTTCAAATGGTTATCTATACATTTTTCGTCATCATTTGAATACGTATTTTCATTCCCAAAAAGTTCATCGCACTGGAAATCTAAGTTTGGTGATTTTGATTCAGGAGATGACTCATATCTAAGCTCCTTACTTTTAAAAAGTTTCACATTACTGTCAATACTTGTAAGATGTTTAAAAATAAATTTGTCAGCTCTCATAGGACGAACATCGAATTTTAAAATTTGAGTTTTTAGCTCTTTGAAATCGTTCTCAACCGATGCCGATGATGCCATACGATATGGAGACTGAAACAAATTACTTAAAACATTTGTCCACAGAGGGAAATGTTTGCATAGCCTCATTGTATCTGGTAATAAATCTTTTAAAAAATATGCTGATATTCTGTTGCCTACTATTGAAGAGTTCTTTATGCTTTTTTGCTTTATATTTTCTAAAAATATTTGTAAATGCGAGTCTTCATTTTCATCGTTATCAATGTAATTATCAAAATCTGATAGTAATTCGGGGCTGGAGTTATTTTCGTTCTCTAATTCATCAACATGAACACCTTTTATTAGTTCTAATATATACAATCTAGCTGTCTCCGAAGGTGTTTCAATGTTGTTTGACCACCCATCGGTTTCGCTCAGCATTACGGTCAAAACAGCTTCTAATATAGTTTCAAATTAGCTTCGAATCTAAGGAAATGTTGACTATTACAAGGGTTGTACACTTTTGCCCGTTTGTATATAAAATTACAGGGTAATTTATGTACTTTTATAAACTCGTCATTTATGATATCTGTCCAGGTTCCTTGTTTTAGAATGTCGTATACTCTTTTTTTATTATTCCTTTGATAAATAACTTTCTTTGGATAAAACTGTCTATACATATCATATGGAATATCAAGTTTAAAAATCTTCTTACTTGGTTCGTGATATGATGACGAAGAAAACTCGTCGTCAGAATCGTTTGATTCCGTAGAACTAAGGTTCTTTGTAGCTGTTACATCAAAACCATTATTTTTTCTTAGTTTTGTCAAAACTTCATTACTATTTTTAAGGACTTTAATGTAAACACTCTTTGGATTTAATTTTCCTTCAAGTGCTTGAGAAATAGTGTGCCATACGGAACACGTAGAGCTGATTAATTCTCCTTTTTCGTTCAAAATGGTATACTTCGACAACAAATTGAAAAAGGCATCTGAATCTACAGCGGCCTTCCTCCCAACCTAAGAAATTATTGTATGTATAATAATAAAAAAAAAAATAGTAATAATAGCCAAATTTAAGCTGCAAATTGACTTTGCCCTACCTACTTCGGACATTTGCCAATTTTTAGCAACGTTTAGCAACGTAGGTACTTGAAAAAAATTGAAACCAGTTTTTTTGCCAACTTTATCAGAAAATAAGTTCAACTTTACCAATAT